GTTTGGGGGCAGCAACAGGAACTGATCTGCCAGTCTGAGAGAGTGGGATGGAACGTAAAGCTGGAGCAGGTCAGATAGATACTGTAGGGCGAGGCTGTGAAAATATTTAAAAACAGATAGAAGAACTTTTAAATTAAGTAAAATAAATAAAAACAACTGGGAGCCAATGTAATGATTCTAAAACGGGTGAAATGTTGTCATTTTTTGGTACCAGTTAAAAGGCGAGCAGCAGCATTCTGAACCAGATGAAGTTGATTAGGTAATAAAGTCCATGCTCAATAATCCAGGTACACAATCCAACATTTTTCAGTCAGTCATCTGGACAGTTTCTTTTTTTTTTTTGTACTGAAACGTTTCGCCTTTGATCCGGAAGGCTTCATCAGTCAGGGAAACCCACAACAGTTTTGTTTGTGTGTTTCCTTGACTGATGAAACCTTCCGGATGGAAGGTGAAACGTTTCAGCACACAAAAAAAGAAACTGTCCAGATGACTGACTGAAAACTGTTGTACTGTAAGCTTTATTATCATTGTGCCGAACTACAGTGAGATTATGTTCGTACAGTCGTCCTAAAGATAGATGGCTAATAAATAGTTTATAGTTATGTTATTAATCCCTCTATAAACACTTTATAATCTTTATAATCTCTCTGTCACCCTTAATGATCGAAGGCGAAAAGTTTCAGCACAAAAAAAGAAACCGTTCAGATGACCTGACTGAAAAATGTTGGATTGATTAAGTAATGACTGGCTCAGCTCGACTAAGTACTTTGGAGAAGTTTAAACGTGTTGTGATAACAAGCGCTGATCAAAATCTCCAAATTATGCCGTAAAATAAAGGGTTTGACCTTGGCCAGTTGTCCCAAGTGATAAAATTTGGACTTGATCACCGATTTAATCTGTGCCTAGAGTTTAAAATCATTGGCCAGTCTAACACCCAGGTTAATTGCTATCTGAGTCAGATGTTGTGTTTAAGAACTCAGATCAGCATGGACTTTGGAAGCATCACTGGGCTTAACCAACAATATATTTATCTGGTGGAATCAAACCCCCACTGCAAGAGTTGGGGATTTTATTCCACCAGCAGTTACATGCCGAAGTGTCCCTGGGCAACACAATGAACCCCTCATTGCCTCCAATGTGTGTCCCATTGATATATGAATGTGACAAAGCACTGATTATTCTTTGTAAAGTTGTAGTAGTGTGCTGTATGAATGGGTAAATGAGGACACAGATTGTGTTGTAAAGAGCTGAGTATCTTGATAAGATAGAAAGGTGTTATATAAGTACGGTCCATTTACCATTTATTTTGCTTATTAAGATGAAAGAATTCAGCATATTCCATGCTCTGACTTCTGCAAAACATACCAGGAGTTTATTCACACTGTTGCTTTTCCTGTTTTTAGTGTCACTTAAACTTGGCCGTCTTAAGCATAAAAATAGAAAGAGACACCATGTTTCCAAAGACTATATCCTATCTAGAGGAAGTAAATAAATGGAAAAAAGAAGAGGGCCAAGTATAAATTCCTGAGGTATTCCACATGTGATAGCCGCTACAGTAGACTTAACTGCTTTGACACAAGCACAAAAGCTACTCTCTGTTAAAAAGATCTAAACCATTCTAAAGCAGCACCCTGAATGCCCACCCAGTTTACCAGGCAAGAAAGGAGGATCTGATGATCCTGTGTCCACTGGGTGAAAAGGAGGATCCCAAACCCAGTCATTTCGTATGTTGCGGGAGTTTCAGAGAAACCGAGACGTTTATTTTCTAAATATGACATCCCAGTGGCTTTTAAACCCCAAAATACATTACAGCAAAGCCTAGTTCATCCCAAAGATCCAGTCCCCTGTCACAAACAGAGTAATATTGTGTATGCTGTTCAGTGTCAGGAGGGTGATCAGTCTTACATCGGGGAAAAAAAAACAGCCACTGGCCCAAAGGATGGCCCAGCACAGAAGAGCAACATCATCAGGCCAGGACTCTGCAGTCTACACTCATCTCCAGGCCAGCTGTCACTTGTTCAGGGATGAAGATGTTCACATCCTGGATAGAGATGAACAATGGTTTGAGAGAGGAGTGAAGGAGGCCGTCTTTGTGAATGGAAACTGTTCATCATTAAACAGGGGCAAAGGCATCTGTGTCCAACTGTTCCCCTCTTACAACGCTGTTATTGCAACTATCACTCAGCCCTCTGTGAATAGCAAGCGGCCATCAGGGCTCTAACAATCAACTGCTAGGCTGATGATCCTCCCTTTTCAACATCTAGTTCTGACTGTCCCCATCAAGCTGGTTGATCCACTATTAGAAGGTGCTATTTATAAGACTGAGTTTTGTTGCAGCTCCTCAGACTGAAGAAGTCTTTTTGATGAAAGACAAAATGTTTCCACAAAGAACCCGTCCAGAGGTCCTGACTCAACCTTGTTTGATTTGTCTACCTGGATTATTGAGCGTTCATCAGAACATCCTTAGCCAAACATTATGTGATGTCATCAGAAATTTCCATCCACTTCTTGCTCTTCCTGTTATGTAGAGTGCAGGTGGTGACTGGTCCTATGACGCTTTAAGTCATCATTTACCTTTGGACCTGTCATGCTGCTGCTTGTTTCCTCCAAGCGCATTATTCCCTTGTTGTACTCCAGTGATTTTGCTTCAGTTGGAAAAACACTTTTTTTCTTCTTTTTTTTTACTTTTAGCAACAACTGTTTCTTGCACTTTTATAAGAAATTGTGCTTTGTTAGAGGTTTGTTTTCTTGTAGTCAAACTACTTTCAAAAATACCAAAATTTCTGATTGTATACAGAGGTGAACTTGCTTTTTTTGCCCACACATTTGAGTAGGTCCAGTCTTGTTGGCACCAGGGCCATTCCAGTTGAAGCTGATGAGAACACTGTACTTTATTTTTGTTGTTGGTTTGTTTTAAGAAAAAAAAACAAATAAGTTGAATTTGAGAATTAAACTTGTTTTTTTAACTGCACGCTTTGAAAGTTTTGCATCCAGTGTTCATTCAAATAAAGTACCAGAAGACCGTTAAACAGTTTTGTTATTGTAAGATAATGAGGAATGTCTTAATCAGGCAGGTCAAATCTGACATGCCTCTGGCAGAATAATTTAATGTACAAGTTGCTTTATTAAAGTTTTATGAGTGTTACATTCAATTACATTCATTGCAAATTTCATTTAACTCCAGAATATTGTATGGATGAAATAATCCTAAAAAATACATTTATGGAAATGTTGCAAGCTGTGCGATTAAAACTAGTCCATCCATTCATCCATCCAATATCTTTTACCCGCTTCTTCCATTTTGGGTCACGGGGGTCGCCGGTGCCCATATCCGGCAATCACTGTGCGATGGGCTGGGTACACCCTGGACAGGTTGCAAGTCCATCACAGGGCCACATAGAGACAAAACGAGACAAACAACCATTCACTCTCTCACTCACACCTAGGGACAATTTAGAGTCACCATTCAGCCTAACATGCATGTTTTTGGTCTGTGGGAGGAAACCGGAGTACCCGGAGAAAACCCACGCATGCAAGGAAAGAACATGCAAACTCCACCCTGAAGTCCCCGGACTGGGATTTGAACCAGGGAGCTGTTGCCTCACTGAGAGGCAACAGCTCTACCAGTTGTGCCACCGTGCTGCCCTTAAAACTAGTCAATAATTATAAAACCTTTAGTCAGTCATGTGTACATGTACCTGTAGTATTTTTTAGTAGTATTTCATTTAAGTTTAGGTTTATTTTTATTTATTTGAGACTATGCGCATTACCAAACAGTTCAAAGAGGCAGTTTCATAATGCCAGATTTAGTCGATGGCTGATTTCCATCTACAGACAAATACATAAAACTCTTTATTAAGAATATAAAACACAATTAATGCTGCTATTGTAGCTTCAATGGCTTAAAGCAGCAGTTCATAAAAAAATACAAATCAATGCTACTTAGCTGAAATTTAAATATAAAACTTTTAAAATGTAAATTAAGATGTTTGATTAAAATAAATGATTTTTACATTTGATTTGTCTGAAGTTTACTTTCTGATACTAGAATGATATGAACTAATGAGATTAGGGATGCACGATATTGGATTTTTGGCCAATATGGTAAAACTTATTTCACCGATACCAATACCAATATTTTTTCCCCTTGCCCTACTTACAGAGACTACATAACTTTAGCTGCTGTGGAATTAAAATCCTACTTTATTCTGCATGGTCTTTGTCAATTTGGCCTGCTACCAAATGCAGATGCCAAAAAGGGGACTGAAAATGATGTAACACTTCAACTTGGATTATGTTTAAAGTCAAAGTTATTCATGACAGTTACTCTCTAACACAATGACAACACTCGAACAGTGCAAATTTGTAAATTTTCACAAATCTAAACTCAACGGTGCACGTGATGTCATAACGTGGGTTGTCATACAAAAACAGCGCCTTTTACATATACGTGTATATATATATATATATATATATATATATATATATATAACAGCGCCTTCTATATTGGTGAGTTATTTTGACGTAATGGCCAATGTCCGATTTTTAATTTTATCGCTATATCAGCCGATACCATGCCAATAATATCGTAAGATGAGATATTTGTAAGTAAAGTGTAATTGGTTTATCTGTTTATCTATTTTTGAACAGTTTACCCTACCATTGCAGAAAACAATAGTAAATATAGCTCATCTTTCTCAAAATATAAAAGAGCAGAATTATTCGTTTTGCACACCAGGAAAAAAAATTTTCCAGATGTTTTTTTTTTTTTTTTTAAATCTCGTAAAGAAAGATTACCATTGGTTGGACTAAAGCTATTGGTTCAATTAGGCGTCAGTTGTAAAAATCATAAAGGAAACATTGAAGTAATGGTTAAAAAGTTATTGTTTTCTCTGGAGTTTTAACATTTTTTTTGTTAAAGCCGAGTTTGTTGTTTTACAGATCTGTCAGAAAGCGTAGATGACAATGCTGTTGGTTGCTAACTGCCTGTGTCTCTTCAGTGTTTCAGAGTTACTGGACCTGTATGAGGAGGACCCCGAGGAAATTCTTTTAAATCTGGGTTTTGGTAGAGAAGAGCCTGATATGGCTGCAAAGATTCCCTCCCGTTTCTTCAACAGCACCTCCTCAGCAAGAGGCATTGACATCAAGGTACAAAAGCTGATAAATCTCAATTTGTTTACTCAGTTCATTGTTTGTTTAGCATGTTAGCTTGTCAGTAGGGCAGCACAATATATTGGAAATTTATCATCTGTGCAATGTTAAAATTGCAATAAACCAAAAACACAAACTGACCAATATACAATCAGAAGAACTTTGCTTTTTATGCCCACAGCTGATTTGGATGATAGTAGCCACATTATAAAGTGCATGCAGAGTGTTGTGACCATCATGACAAAAACAAGCTAGAAAAGAAGAAAATGTGTGTTTACTGTAAATGTTGCTCTCAGTGGTATATTCAACAATAATATATTCATGTTTTCCTAATATTGTGCAGCCCGGCTGGGCAATATTTGCTTGTCAGTTGTAATATTAGCAGAAGGCCATAAAATTTTGTTCTACACTGAAATATTTAAGCTTGCAATGTTTGTTAAAGTTTGTAGACATTTGCACAACATAATAATAATAATAATAATAATAATGGCATCATGTGACTTTTCTCCATTACTCCTAACTTCAAATGTTTTTATTTAATCAATGATATTTTATATTAGACTTTATCATCCCTGAGGAGCAATTTATTGTGCAGCCAGCAAAGAATAAATACAAATAATAAACAACCACTACACAGCACAACACTCTGAGCACATGACGTACAGTTGTGGGCTTCTAAGATGTCAGACTTCCATCTTTAATATTATTAAAATATTCAGGATGGAATTTTGTGAAACATTTGCATTTACATCCCAATAAATTTTGATCATCCATATATGTGAAAAACTGATACAGACTATTGTTAATTAACTGATCAGAAACTTTATTTTTAGGAGAAAAATCTAATTCACAAACTTTGTAGGCACCACCAGCAACAACAACAAAAAACTATGAATGTTTAAAGAATAAATTAATACATATACCTTACACTGTTTATACTTTGCTATAATAACATCACTTTCTATTCACTACTAGGTTTACCTGGGAGCTCAGCTGCAGCGCATGGAACTGGAAAACCCCAACTATGCTCTTACAAGTATGTATGTCCATATTACTAATGTCTGCTGCGCGTGTGTTTACGCTGCGGTTCATCTGCAGTTGAACTGCTCCGTTAGCGAGTGCGTGCAGTCCAAGGTTCAGGGGTTTTGCATCCTGAAACTGTAGTCAAGTCAAGTCAACTTTATTTATAGAGCACATTTAAAACAGAACCTGTTATCAAAGTGCTTAACAACAACAACAATCAATGAGTAAAATTAAAGAGAAAAATATATATATACAATACACTAATAACTGAAGAATTAATAAAAAGCACTTAAAACATAGGGTCACAGATTTAAAAAAACACTAGATCAATTTACACTGTGTGAAATGCCTGCGAGAACAGATGTGTTTTTAGCAGGGATTTGAAGTGAGGAATGGAGGTGGCCTGCCTGATGTTGGGGGCAGGTTGTTCCAGAATTTGGGGCCCATGACTGAAAAAGCCCGATCTCCTCTGAGCTTCAGTCTTGTTTTTGGAACAGCCAAAAGCAGCTGATCGGATGATCTCAGGGCCCGAGAGGGAACGTATGGTTCCAGTAGCTCAGAGAGGTAAAGTGGTGCAAGGCCATTTAGGCACTTGAAGGTCAACAGAAGAATTTTAAAGACTATCCTCGTACGAACAGGGAGCCAGTGAAGGGAGGACAGAACTGGAGTAATATGTTCAGACCTACGAGTTCCGGTTAAAAGCCGAGCAGCAGCATTCTGGACGAGCTGAAGACGTGAGATGGAGGCCTGGCTGATTCCAGCATAGAGTGCATTGCAATAGTCCAATCGGGTTGTGACAAAGGTGTGGACTAGTTTCTCAAGGTCAGGTCTGGACAACACTGGCTTGAGCTTAGCCACCTGTCTGAGTTGGAAGAATCTTTTCTGCAGAACAGTGTTGATTTGCTTGTCAAACTTGAAGTCAGAGTCTAAAACCATCCCAAGATTTTTACCAGACTGCTTCAAATATGTCTGAAGAGAGTCCAGGTTGACAGGATCAGTGGTGGCAGTTGAGCTAGGGCTAAAGACAATGACTTCAGTCTTCTCATTGTTAAAACTTAAGAAATTTGAAGCCATCCAAGCCTTAATGTTGTCCAGACATTTTAACAGAGGGTGAATGGAGCAAACACTTGCGGGTTTCACAGGCAGGTAGATCTGGCAGTCATCAGCATAGTAATGAAATGAAAGACCATGTTTCCTCAGGATGGGAGCATCCCAGTGGGAGCAAATAAAGTGAGAACAGAAGGGGTCCAAGAATCAAACCCTGTGGGACACCGCAAGAAAGAGGTAATGAGGCGGATACATTATTACCAACCTTGATACAGAAGCTCCTGCCACTCAGGTATGAGCGGAACCATTCTAATGCAGGACCTGTGATCCCAACCCACTGTTCCAGCCGTGATATAAGGAAACTGTGGTCAACAGTATCAAAAGCAGCAGTAAGGTCCAGGAGCACAAGTACCACAAAATGACCAGAATCGTTTGATACCACAATATCGTTACAAACCCTTACTAATGCTGTTTCAGTGCTGTGGAGTTGCTTAAAACCAGATTGAAAAATCTCGAAGATTCTGTTCTCATTCAAAAACTTGTTTAATTGAATGAAAACTATTTTCTCTAGGATTTTGGACAGGAAGGGAAGTTTTGAGATTGATCTGAAATTTGAGCAAGTCGAAGGGTCAAGTCCAGGTTTCTTAATTAACAGATGAACTACTGCATGTTTGAAAACATCGGGAACCACACTTGTCACAATACTACTATTTATAATAGTAAGAACAGAGGGTCCAATCGTGGGTAGAACTTGTTTGAACAACGACACACGAATGGGGTCAGCGGGGGAACCGGAGGGTTTCATCTGACCAACGGCTTTGTTTAGAAATGGGAGTGAAATAGGTTCAAAATGTTTGAAGACAGCTGAGCAAGGGACAAAGACAGAGGGATCAGTTGTGGACTGGGGGATGGATGACCTAATCAACGCTACCTTATCAGCAAAGTATCTAGTAAAGTCGTTGCAGATGTCAACAGAGGCCTCCATGCTGGCAGACCGAGGCACGTTTAAAATAAAATTTATGGTATTAAAAAGAACACGGGGATTTTGACTGTTTGAAGCAATGATTTGGGAGAAGTATTTGTTCTTTTCGGATTTAGCGATGCTCTGATAATCTTTCAAACACGTTTTTAACATAATAAAAGAAACCTGTAATTTGTCATTTTTCCACTTTCGTTCGGCTCTCCTGCATAGACGTTTGGCTGCACGAGTGGTCGCGTTCAACCAGGGGTGTGGTGCCGGCTTTGGTCGCCTGATTTTTTAGCAGGGCCACGAGGTCTAAAATCTTAGAGCAGGTTGCATCATGCCTACTGAGCAGCTCCTGCGTACTAATACAGGCAGAGGTTTCAGGGACTGAAGCAGCATCAGTAAGGAATGCAGAGGAAAAAAGAGCAGCGGTTGAAGAGTTAAATATCAGACAACTCTTGTCTGGAGTGGGGGATTTAGACTCATGAATAACAAAGGTTTCGAATGAAATGGGTTTGTGATCTGAAACAATAGCATCCCCAATTTCCAGGTTAACCACAGGCAATCCGTGAGACAGAACTAAATCAAGTGTATGGCCCTGTTGATGAGTTGGACCAACAACATTTTGCACAAGGTTGAAAGATTGTAACAGATTTTGAAACTCCTGCACCAAAGGCTTGTCAGGACAGCAAACGTGTACATTAAAGTCTCCCAGAATCAAGACCCTGTCATAATTGAGCAGTATTCCAGTCAGAAAGTCAGAAAATTCACTTATGAAGTTTTTGTTGTACAAGGGTGGTCTGTAGATCAGGCTGCACAGTGTTGGGTTGGAGCGGCCCAGCTCAAAATAGAGCAGTTCAAAACTCTGAAAAGCTACAGCAGTAGACAAAGGAAGTGAAGTTTAGTGCAATCACTTTGCATCTGTCCAGTTCTCAGTGTGACGTGATGTTTTGTGTGGTTTGACTCACACACGCACACACAAACACACACACATAGTGAGAGAAAGAGAGCGAGCACTGGCCTCTGTTTTAGTGTCTTTGTTGTCAGTTTGTATCTGTGTAACCTGTCCTGCAAATCTGACTTTGCAAGTAAAATACGGGTATAAAATCTTCTTCTGCCATCAAGTGTGGCTCCTTTGGAGTAAGTGAGATAAAGCGAGAATATTTTTCTCAAACATTATGGTCCGTCGAGTGCCAGCTCCAGTGCTTAATTTGAGCTGGATCCAGGAACGCTCTCATTTTGACCGGGTGCGTTCTGGCACCTGTTTGCTCAGATCCGGCAACTCATATCTCCACCCCCAAAAGTCCAAAGCCATTGCGCATTTTTATTTTAATTATTTATTAAAAATACAACGAGAGAAATGTTTGTGTATTCACATTAATCACGTATCAAAACAACAGCATTAATTTGTCAAAATAACACCAATCAAAATGTTGAAAAGACAGTCCAGTTTACTTTCATTAAATAAATGGATGGATGGATTGTCCTTAGTTGGACAACCGTGAAGGCAGTCATAATTGGGGTTGGATCAGCAGGAGCAACAACACAGGAATGAATTCAGCGGAGAAGTGAAGTGTGTGTGTGTGTGGGGGGGGGGGGGAGGGAGTAAGACGCTTGACAGAATCGGAGCTGCACACAACCTGCTGTTATGCTATAAAATAGTAATTTAATCAAGTGTTTACAAATGTAGATACATGTATGTTTAACAACCTGTTAAAATAGGCTACAGCAAAATGCAGGAAATGCCGTAGATCTACTTTGTTCAAAAATTTAAGGGGGAGGAGGACCTACAAGCTCCCTCCACTTCCCCAGCTTCCCCACTGTGTGTGCCCCACCGGCCCGCCCACTATTTGCGTTCCGGTATCGATCATTTTACAAATTAAAGCCCTGGCCGGCTCCAACTTCTGACCTCGGTACACCAGGCTTTAATCGGATACTGTGCACAGAGGAGAAATAATCTGCTAAACTGAAAGTCCTCTGGCTCGAAGGACCAAATTGTTGGAGAAAAATACTCTTGCTTCATCTCATTTTTTCAAAAGGAGCCACACTCAACAACAGGTAAAGATTTTTAACCGGTATCTTGCTTGCAAGGTCAGATTTTCAGGACAGGTTACACAGATATACAGGAAGACCAGTCACGAAAATCTGCCACGAGCCATGTGTGAAGCTTGTTTTTATACTCTTTATCAGTTCAGCCGAGCTCTCGGACTCGGAGGCGTCCTTGGAGCAACAGCTGCAGCCTCACCCAGCTCCTCATTCAGCTTTCTGCTAACCCAAACATATGATTCATGGGCAGAGTTAACATTCTCAGTTATAGTAGTTAAAAACATCCATAAACTTTGACCAAAACATCCCTAACAGTGTCTTCTTTGTTTCTATAATCAGTCCATTTTTTACATTTTTCAACAAATTGTCCTGTAGGAGGATACGTGCGAGACGTGATGACAGTTTTTTTTAGTTGGCGTGTCTGTATTGTTGCACTACGTCTGTGCCGGCAGTTGTCGATTTTTTTTTTGGGGGGGGGGGGGTGGGTGAGGTTGGCGGAGCGCTCAGTTCTGTTGACAGGGCAGGTCGCCTTCCTTGTACAACAGTACGGGAAACACTGCAATGTTACTAGCTGGTTTTCCAACTTGCCTTTTATCATAATCCTCATCTTTATCTCCAATTTTCTTGAACATTTCAAACTTTAGAGTATTTGAAATTAGTCTTATCACTCATCTCTTGCATTTTCATCTGAAAGAGCTGAATTCCTGTACCCTAATTTTTAGAGAGTAAGTTGAGGGGGTTGATTGCTGACATCCTACTAGGTAAGTCTAGATTAACAACTCATGTCTAACAAAGTTAAGTCAGGTCCTCTGGACAGTTTCCTTTTGTTGAAACATTTTGTCTTTCATCCAAAAGACTTCATCAGTCCCTGGAGTCGCAACAAACTCTGTGTTATAAAATGATTCTTCTTGTTGATTCTTGTGTAATCATCTGTGCGTTGTTTTTCTTCTTCCTTTCTCCTTAAGAGAGGGGGTGAGGATTACTGCAGTATGTCTACCTTAATAAACATCTTCTGTTGTGAAATAAAGCTGGTTA